TAAATGTGAAAATCTGAAATAGAGAACTTTTTACATGTGAGGAAACAAGTGTGTACAAAGATTATGAGAACTGATTGGCATTCCATAATGAATAGCATGTGAATAAATTCTCACAGGCCAAAATCTTATTAAAGGACATTGAGAAGCATAAATCTTGCTTATTAAAAAGAGGACAATAGGACAAGTGCAAGAGTTAATCAAGTATGTGGTTCAGTTACACATGCCCTGAATCAAGATTAGATGTTGAAATGTGTTACTATGATTTTAATATTATTATTCTAACCATTTTTTCATGCATTAAGGGGTTATAAATATAAGAATATAATCTCTTCCGTCACAAGAGAAAACTTTTTGCTGTATTAAGACTACAGATCTGCCTGCATTTTACATGGAACATGAATTGTACTTTGTGCATTCCTGGCGACAGTAGGTTAAGTCTCTAGATAACAACTTCAGACTGGCTGCATGCTTCATTATTTTTTCCCCTTTACAGTTGTTAAAACTTTATAGAGCCTCAAAACATATCCAGATGGACAGTTACTGTGACTGCCACTTATGAAACCAGTATAATCTAGCACAATACACAAAGTAGGGTAAGTGTGGAAAGAAAACAAGTTCTGAATAGAGGACCTCCTCAGAATATTGGATCAGCCATCAGACACACCAATTCTGTTTAGACAGGCCTGTTATACACACCCAAATGTTCCGCAAAACAAAGCAAACCCCCAACCTTTCACCACTTTCCTCCTAAACACTCTGCCCAAGGGTGGTCTTCACCCTGCTTGATGCAGTATTTGTGCCTACATCTTTATTCACAAAATGAAGCTCTTGTTTCCATAGCTTTTTGGCAAAGCTGAGATACATAAACCATTTTATTCCTCTCAGAGGAATATCGTATCTTGGCAGCTTTATTTGAGTCTGACCTTTTCAAATATGCAGCGGCAAAATATGAACAATTAAATTACTGTACTGATGTGTTGGCATGCTTTTGCCAGTGGGTTCTCCTTCACACCTCCTTCAGCCCACGTGCATGAAACTAGGATTATCACAAACACTATGAGCTATGAGAATTTGGTCAAGATGAAAACAAAGTTATTTGAAAATACAGTCTTTGTTCACTTGCTGGACGACAGCTTCTAAGCACATGAAAGTAGCAAGGAATAGTAGCTTCTATAGATTTTTTTTTTTTGTGATGGGTGCAAAAATAAAACTTTCTATTTTTATATGCAGTATACAAATATCTCAACAGGATGATTACATACTGGAGTCAAAAAATGAAAAAAAAACAAAAACAAAAAACAAGCAAGTTTACAGGATCTTTAGAGCAACTAAATCTATGGCTTCATTCGTCACTCCAGCTAGAATGGTGCTTATTTCAGCAGTTCTGACGCCTGTGTCTATTTACTTGCGTGTTGATAGAGACATATCTCTCTAGAATGCAGCAGGCGTTCTCATTTACTTTTTTATTAGTTACATTCCACAAATTTTCAACTTATATGTTAGCAACTAAGAAAATTGTTTGGGAAATCAAAATTTTAATTTGTGGAATTTCATCTCCTTTTCTGCCTTTTCATTTCAATTCCTTGCAGTTATGTGTTATAACCCTGGTGCTGCAGTTCAAGTTGTATACCGGTTGCTTCTGGAGAGATTTTTTTTAAATGCAATGTATAAAAAAAAGACACTATCTCTTAATACATGGTATTAGAGCTGTGGTTTAGTTTGCTGTTTTGCAAGAAGAGGTTGCTTGCTATATGCCTTAGAAGAACCTTGTTTTCTTCTAATATTTAAGGATCTTGAAAGTTGTTTTTTCTTGTGTTTTTTTTTTGTTGTTGTTGTATGTGTGTGTATGACATGATTAAAGATTGACTGTGAAGTATTTAATTAGGCTATGACTACTGCCATGTGTTGCACAGCTCAATACTGTGTCATTCAGCTGTACTTTCAACTAACTTAATGAAACATAAAGAAGTTAGGTAAAACTTAAATAACCTCGGAGGCTTTTAATCAGCTGTATCTATACAACCCTATCCTGTCACACGAGGAATTTATCATTTAAGGTTTTTCTCAAATAAATTAAGTAATTATAGATACATATAGGTATTCCGTAGTTATAAAAATATATACTGTATATAATATATACATCTATATATTATATATATATATCTATATATATATATATAAGTTCTGATGTTTCCGTTTGTTTGTTTATTTTTTCCATGTTGAAAACAAAGCTCTAATCTCTCATATTTCATCTCCCCTCCATTTTGTACCAGAGGTGACCACACAACTTGAGCAGTTAGTTGCACGTGAGTAACAAGAATCAGATCATAAACAAAAGCACACTGGGGGTTCAGTTGGCTAAGTACAAGAGCAGAATATTAACCATGAGCCCTGCCTAGGTTAAAAAAATTCCTTTATCTTGGTCATGGCATATAACAAGGTTTCATGCCTCTTTCTGGTACGTCTGGTGCCACAGGCTCCCTAGGAATCAGATTTCATTCAGATGCCTGCTCCTTGAACTACTGGTGGTCAGAGAAGCAGCTATTTGCTGACATATTGCTGGGTTACACCTTTATCACATGATTTTCTCTCACAGTAATTCATGAAATAGAAAACTCAATCAAACAACTGGAAAAAGATGCTATTGCAAGAATATTCATGCAGCCAACATTTGGACTTCGTGATTTCTCCATTTACCAGCAGTGTTTATTAAGCATTGAATACAGCAGACAAGTTGGTTAAGAACTAATTACAGATTCTAGCGTACATTAGAAAATATGCTGTGTTGTTAATCAACACCATCATTAAACAGTGCTGTTTTAAACATCAGGACATACAAAAAGTGATAGAAGTGATTTTAAATGACTTTACTCACTTCACACCTTGTGGCTGTATCTACTTTACACCTTTTAATTTTTCAACCTTCTGCCTTTGAATCTGAGGAACCCATAGCAACACAGAGGTTAATTGTTTTGATATACTTTCTTCAGAAATTCTCCAAACTTTCCATTTAGTGAATTATGTCTGTATGTGTAATACTTGGGAAGGAAGGGAGTGACTGAAGCCCTTCAAGGACAAAGAAAAGAGAGAGTTGGCTTCTCCCCCCTGGATGCCTCCTGATTTTTCAACTCTTGATTTTGAGTAGAAAATAGGATGCATTTTGTTTAGCTGGAGAGAATGCTTTTCTAAGTTCCGTAGAGTCATTAGTGAACTTGGGCAGCTAGATTACATATAAACAATATTTTTGCTCTAGATAAACCAGTTGAAAACCAGACAGTCTGCTGATTTCACAGAAATTGCTTAGATTTAATTCTCAGTAATTGGAACTGGAGATGATTTATATAATGAACTATGTGTAATATCATTAAAAAATAATGTAAAAGGGCTTGGCTTGACAGAATGTAACTGAAGACTAGCAAAAATAGCGCATTTAAATATGCAAATGCTGTTCTTTAACAAGGTTCTGCACCAGAAAAATGTGAATTCAAAGAAATAATTAGTGTATTTTTTCTAGATGAAGGAGAAGGAGTTAAGATTAATGAAAAGGTGGGTTAGTTTTGTCTCCATCAGCAGATTGTAAAAATACAAAAATTGAAAACAAAAAGGAGAGAGAGATGTTTCCTGAACCATTTCTCTGAAATCCTCCTATCTCCTCCCATCTTTTCTTTTCAGGCTCATTTGGACAAACATCAGTCAGCCTTGTTACTTTAGACCTTCTTGCTGATGTTCTGTGGGTTTCCACTTTATTTCTACATAACCTGAAAAAATCATATTTGCATCACGAGCTGACCAAAATGTTCTTTAATTACTTCCCAGGAGCTTTTCTTCATTCTCTGAGTGGGTACCACTTTGTTGCTACAGTGAAGAGCTTGTCAACGCTCCCTTTAGAGATGTCTAACTTTACAGGATACTGTAACCCAGCCAACATGTGTGGAACTACAACTACAACTCATTTTACAAGTTTTCAGGAAAGATGCCAGTTATTTAACATGTTTACACTAAAATAACTTGGATTTTTTTTCTTTTTGCTTTTACTCAGATGTGATACAACCACAGCAGACCAAATATGTGCCAAGTCTTTTCTTGTCAAGGTGGCCCTTTACTCCTGGCTCTTTGCTGCCTTTCTTAGACACTGTTTCTTAGACTTGAACATCTGTCAGTTCTAATGTCTTCCTCGGGAGCTCACTATCCAGCTGCTTTTTTGTGTGATGTCTTTGTCTCACTTTTAATCCTTACTTGACCTTGAAGACTCTGTTCCAAAATCAGGTCATCAAATATTTAACGACTTGTTAGAAATGTAGAAGTTTTCAAAATAAGATATTAAGGGACACCCCCTGCTTCAGCTGGGTACTACAAACCATCTATCTGTAGCCCCACATTTCATCTGTTACTATGAGTAGACACATAGTAATTGAATATCAATTTATTTAGCTCTGAGATGGCTTCTGCTAGTGGATAGGGAGAGCATTTTAGGTTCTTGTGAGCAGTGCTATGGCCACCACCCAGAGTTCTCTCCTCCTTCACAGGAAAGGCAAGAAGTCTGCATACATGAAGTCTTCGGAAGTTTTCAGAGCACTTGAATAAGGTTCAGATAAATTTCTGGCTTTCTAAGTTTTTACACATGAAAAATCTGTGACTGATTTGAAAATTGCCAGTAATGCCTTCTGTATTTGTTCTGCCCAGGGGAATTTAAAAATTCAGATTGGAGCAGCTGAGGGTGAAAGAAAGTTCAGCCCTTATCAGTCACCCGTATTTGCTGAGGCAGTTTCATAAAAGCAGTGAAGTGAATGCAGAAACAAAAACTGGGGACTTCTTGATAATGTTGTAAGTCAAAAACAAGGTTAAAAAAAGAAAAAGGCAGGCATAGCTACTTCAGCTTGCATCGTATGTGATTCAAATAAAAGGAAACAGATTTGATATTAAGAATGTGGGTGAGGTAGGCGTACACATTACATTGGAGATACAAGGTCAAACACAAAAATGTTTCTTCCAAATTGAAGTCCAGGGAATTGCTGATGAGATCGAGCCCACCTGGAGCAAGTGAAAACCTGATTGTGAGGGGCCTGATGATAATCCTTGGACAAGCACTCTTCTCCTCAAGCCTGGTGTGAACTCAGAAATCTGCTGCTGAGCTGGGACCACTTTGCCTTGCCATTAAGTGAAACTGGAGCAGAGTTGAGCCCTGTATCGAAGCTCACTTATCCCCAAGGTGAACACGCGCATCTGTTCTAATACTTGAATGTTTTCTTGTACACTTTGATATTTCCTTGCTGGTAACTTTTGGGCTATTTAAGCAGGGTGAACCATTTTACCTGCAAAACTGTAAAAAGGGAAGAGCTAACGAGGGGCTATGAGGTGTTATGGCAGAGGTGATGAGGTGTATTTATTGGACCTCTGCAAAGTACTTTGCACACTGGGGATAAAATCTCTGTTTCACCAATTTCTTGGGGAAGGTGGGAGACAGAGCTCTTTCCAGTGATTGCTCTGCTGCCTGCATACATGTAAGCAACCTGTGAGATGTGGCATGCCGGGTGCCCAGGAAGAGGTCTGCTTTCCTGGCTGCAAACGAGTTGTAATGCTTTGGCCACAGATTTCAGCCATCTTTATGTTGTACTAATGGTAGATCAGTCTTAATAAGGAAAAGCTCTGCATCAGTTTCAGTTACCTTCTAAATGTGTGTAATGACATCAACTGCTGTATGCAGATATTGAAACTTCTCACCAGTGGGACGGCACTGGCAAATTCTTCACAGCCAATTTTTATGCATGATGGATGCATTAGCTTCTTTTCTTGCCAAGGAAAGCCCAGGATCTTGGCTTTCAGGCTCTTGAAATTTGGCTTAGCCAAATAGCGTAGCATTGAAGTCTCAATGTGCAGCACATTGCAGCCTCTGTGGTATAGCCTTGGAGTCCAATACCATAGAGATTTCTCTGCTTCAAGGATGCAGTAGTAAAAATAAAGATGACTTTTTCTGCCTAGGTGATGCACCTCAATTTTGCCCAGAGCATGCCCACCACCTTCCCTGAGAAAAGATTTCTGTGAGACTTCAGCCTGCAGAACACTGTTCACATCTTTTGTATGCAGAGTTTTTTGGGACTCATTGGACAGTTTTTGCCCTAAGAAAGAAGTGATTTGAGACTTTCGCAAGGCAAATAATGAAACATAATCACCATGGGAATCGGTTTGTTGGAGCTGGAGGTAAGAAGGAAATAGGAGCATTTCACTTAACCACATTTTGGAATTTCAAAGATTTAATCAACTGATGAGAAAAATTACATCATTCCAAGGTCAGATTTTTAAAACAAATAATAAATTACAATTTAAAGAGGTTAAAATTACAAATTAAATTGTAACTTTAAAGAAATATGAGAAAGTTCACTAGACTTTTTAAAAGGGTACTTGTAGTAATAGGATGATAAGTAAGAGGTGCGGAAGCATGGCTAGAACACTTACAGCTTCTTTCAGAGCTCTGTTATCCTATGAGTACTGGATATGTTGCTGTTTTTGTAATTAAAAACTAACTTCAGCTGGGATCAGGGCTTTCACCTCTTCTGAATTATGTTCCTAACCCGCTTGAATGAACAGGATGGATAAAAGCTTTACACTAGTCTCCATAATTCTTTATATACTATATCATCCAGTTTTTATAAAATCATTCCATAATTTATCATACAAATATTTTTATATGTTTTCCCTGAAGTGGGAGGGGAAAATTAGCTCCTATGGTGTGAAATATTTGTTGAATAAACAGCAGGTAACTGTGAACTAACGTGGCTAAAGTCCTGCTGAGAGGGGCTTGGACCATTGCAGCCAGGTTTGCAAGTGGTTTCTGACATTGTTGGTGCTTTTTTGTCTCTTGATTTGCTTTGTGACAATCTGTCAGTACTAATCTGAATTATGCATAGCATAAAAAAACAAAACAAAACACAAAACAAAGTAAATAGAACAACAACAAAATAAGAGAGAAGTAAAATAAAAAGGAAAACAAAAATACATTCAGATGGAAACAAAAAAGAGCAATAAAAAAACAGAAGTTGCTGTGTATCAGTATATATCAGCAATATACTTGTTGAGGGTACCAACTTAAAGTTATGCTTATGGACATGGTATATCAGGTATATGCACCTGTGGGCATACTCCGGGATGGTGTTGTAATATTTGCATGAGGTCTGCTAATAAAATCAGTTAGTGCTGATAGAGGCAACGGCAAATCAAGACTTGAGTCCCCAGCACTGTCCCAGGGGCTGTGTGTGAAATGAAACATGAATGATAGCCAGGAACTTTGCCCTGTCACACAGCTCTTCTCTAGAACTTCAGTGCATTTGGCTGCAGTGAACACTCACTGGCTGTAACACTGAGATGTGCAGACAAAAGTTTTCTGGAAAACTTCTTGTTCTTTTGCTTTGAAGTGACTGTAAACACATCTAAGATAAAAATATACTGAGCATTTGTATTATGTTGTTTGAAACTAGGTATTCTATTTCCCAAAGATAATGCAACAGTTAATTTTCTGCTTTACTTACAGTGCTTTTCCTCAGCATCAATTGCTACTAAATAAGTCCTCATCATTTTTCAAGGGTGTGACTTGCAACAGGCAGCAATAACAATTACATATTGTTTTCAAATAAGATGTCATTTTCCTTTCTGGCTAACAGCAATGATTTTTTAATGCATAACATTTGTTTAATAAAACTCACAGATGCTTCCTTAACAGTTGCAAAGGAAGAAGAGAAGAAAACAAAATTAAAGAAAAGGCAGAAAATATAAAGAGCAAATGAAAGACTTAGCTTCCACCACAACTATTCACATTGTGTCCAAGAAACATTTGTATACTTTTGTTGGACCAGACTGTAGTTTACATAGCAGGGATGTCCTATCTCTTGATTCCATGTTTTGCTGCAGCATTGTTTTGATTCTCTGCAAATGAAGGAATACAAAGAGTATCCATGTTTTATCAGAAGGCCCAAACCTCATGAAGATCACAGCATTTTGGCTTTTGTGTTTCAGAAGGCAATTCTGCAGAGCAAGACAGATTTTCCTTTTTATTACTCAAGGCTGCCATATCTCCACGATCTGCCTATCCTTTCTAGTTAGTTGAGCTCACTAATTTCTTCCCTTTCTTTGGAGTAAAAGGTAATGTGTTAAAATTTTTCACCAAATGACTTTTTTTTTTTTTTTTTTTTTTTGGTAAACTGAAATAAATTTCATCCTGCTCTCAAGTTTTCTGATCTTCAAGCAAACAAGCATAAAAGGAAAATCCACCTTGATTCCAAAGCTCAACATAACCAACAAATCTCAGCTAGTAACTTTGCAGCTACAAAAGGATGTGGGACCAAGAGAGTAGTTTTCCTCTGCTCCTCTAGCTGGCTGCAGAGCTTGTGTGAGATCTTTGTCTCCCAACTTGTGCAGCAACCTCAGCCTTTCCAATGTGTACTGTGGAACACTATGGGAAAGAAATGGAAGAGGTTTATTGTACAAAGAGGGTCAGCATGGTGAAATCAAACATTCACAGTGAATGGAAAAGCCCAAAGGAACAGAAGAGGAAAGTCCGTAGTCCTGGATGTTTCTTACTCCATGTCTCTTTTGAGTCCATCAGGATATCTGGAGTGTGGTGGTAAGACACAAATTGAGAAATGAGTCTGTCAGCAAGGCCTAATGGCTGATGTCTTGAAGGAAGAGCTGGTTGACTGTGAGTGCTGTGGTCGAAGTGGCTGGACAAAATACAGGAGCCTCTATATCCTGTGTTAAAAAGAGAAATGGAGTTTTGTATGGGTGTCTGCGAAGCAGTGCTGCTTACCTACAACAGGTGTTCTCCCCAGGCCTGGGAAGAAGCTTTGTGCTTGTTGTTCCAGCACTCTCTTCACCAGGACGCATCCTTCAGTTGTCCACTGCTCCTCACTGTACATGGATTTGAGTGTCTGAATGTCGTATGAAACAGGTTCAGAGAATTTTCACTCATCACAATCCTTGAATGTTAGCAGACATTTATGCAATATAGTATTTTCTATGGTCCAAGGAATACTGCAGTGAAAATACCGTTTCCCAATCTTGGGTGATCTGCTAACGTTTGCAAATCCAGTTCATATCACAGCACGACAAGGGGCTATTATAATTTTTAATTAAAAAGTGTATTCTTTCATAATGTCTTCAGCTCTTTCAGATGGCTATCAGAAAGCAACATGAGTCAGGCTTCACAGGGAATGGGGCATCACATCCTGACCTTGGCACATAGACATTTTTATTTCAGTCATCACACAAACAGCATTCTGGTGCAAAAAGCAGTGGGCAGGCATTGCCTGGTAATGGATGGCAGGCTGAAGAGGGAGCAGTTCCCAATTCACAGAGCTGTGCTTTCCCAGATCAGCCTATAACTTGTGATAATATTGTGATCAAAATCTCTACTGGAAAAGGAATTTCCCAGACAACTGCAGATCAGGAGATACTTTCTCATTACCCACCAGAAACTGTGAGCAAACTTGCTGGGAAAAATTCAAAATAAAGCCCAGAAATGCATCTAGTTTGTATGCCACAGCAAGTCCATGTATTTTTCTTTTCATCCAGAAATAAAGTGATAAATGTTCTGCTTTTGTGTCTCATTTCCTGTCTGTACATATTAGAGCTAGATATTAGAAGTAACTGTAAAACAAGAGGAGACTGCCCTTTTTTTTAAGCAGGATTTCGAAGAACTATCTAGTAATAATCATGTCCAAAATTGCAGAAATGTCAGAATCATGTCCTTGTAAGTCTGAAGAATTGTTAATGGATTGTTTTCTGGGGATCAGACAGAAAAATATCAGCCAGATTCACTGATGTCCCCTGATGGCTTAATGTTATTTTAAGCTGTAAAATTCCCATTAGTTTAAATGGAAATATGCACAGCTTTTAAAACAGGACAGCTATATGTTCCATGTACGTTTCCATGTACGATGTACATCATTGCAAATGTCTGAGCAAAAATTCATGGCCGTGTACTTCTACAGTCAGCCCGCGCTGTTCCACAGGCATGTATTTCCTGAAGCTTTGCCTGAAGCAGCTTTGATTCTTCAGACCCTGGGACTCCATTGCTCACTTTCCTTAGGAGGTTGTGCCACAGTTTAGTACATATTGCTAAGATATTATTTTACTTCCAGCACTCATCCAAAATTTTATTTACATTAATTTAATTCTGTTCTTTTCAAATCATGTTCTTTTTTTCTTCATTGGTGTTTCGTGAAGGTGTTCTTTTTTTATTCCAGATAAGGTCAAACTTTTATTTGCAACTAGAACACAGTATTATTCCTTAGCTGGAGGGAGCTCATCTGAAACAGGTATAGGTAATTACGGGCTGCACTTAGGGGTCTGCTAAAACTTTCTGCTTGATTAATTGTGCCTGCTGGGCCAAGAATTGCTGTTAGGCATGAAAGCATCCAGTGCCATGCAGAGACAGCCCCCCAGCAGCTTTCAGGGCTGCCAATCCCCTTGTACCCCAGCAGAGACTTGGTGAAATGTGACTATTCAAAATTACTAGAAGAGAAGGAATGGGTTGTATTCTGTTTTCATATTGGCTGAAACCAAGAACTCTTCTAATAAGCCCAAGAAATTAGGTGGGTCTGTGCAGCCAAAGTAACATGCAGCCCAGTCAGACCAGGGTGTGCTGTTTGCTTTTACTTATTTAATTACTTTCCCACCAATTATGCTCAAAAATCAATCAGTGACAGAGGACTCCAGAAGCCTTTCCCAGCTGTTTTGAGCTGCATCTCCCAAAGCTTGCCTCCTGTAATGCAGTTTTAGCCTTACGTGCTTTAAAGTTAATAGACTTATTTGAGCAAATGGCTTATTTGAAATCTACACTGGAAAAAAGTGAGCATAAACGTGCACATGCCAAGCTATAAACACATTTATACAGTGCAGTAAATCGGTCCTGCTGCCTTTTCTTGGACCAACCAGGCCAATTACACTGCATGTACAGGACAAGAGGGTGGAAGTGGTTCAGCTCATTATGGACTCAGTAGCTCAGTAGGGACTGCAGCCATATCACCCCACTGGTTCTCATTTTGGTATTCTCTCTGTGGCCAAATTTTGGCCAGCTTGCTCTAAGCTTTTCATGTACTGTCTGCCACAAGAGAATAAAGATATTTTGGAAATTATCTGAAAAAGGTGATGGAAGTGTGGGAAAGGCTCCAAGGCAGATAATAGCTGATTGTTTCACTGTCTGACAAACTTGAGTAAATGTTTTTTTCTTGGAAGATCTGTTCAAATATGTGCTAGGCTGGGGATGCCAAGGAGTTTTCCTCTAGTCACTATATAGCACCTGCTTAAATTTAAGCTTGTGTATGATCTGTCGCATGTATTGAAATGTTTGTGGGTTGGCTGTCATTCTTTCGACCCCAGATCCCATTCTCTCTGAGCAAAAGGAGCATAGAGAAAAAGATAAAAATCTCCTGGATGAGCTGAGGACTGGAAAGTGATGCCTCTTTGGCTACCTCTGTAGGATGTATCAGCTCTGTTATTGCCCTCAGCATGGTATGGCATGGGACTCAATCCTTCATCTGGATACTCTTATTTTTTCTTCCCACGGAATAAAGGGACACATAAAAGAAGGCTTAGACTCTCCTACTTTCACAGAATCACAGAATCACCAAGGTTTCTTAGTATTCGGCCTGCTTCTCCTAGTACGTAAAGCAGCCCCACTTGCTTTTATAGCAAGGATCTCTCATCAGCTTAATTTGTCTTTGACATTTTGAAGACATTTAGAAAAGCACCTCAGAAATTTCTCTATCTACCTGTTTCCAAGTATGGTGTGTTATTCCAATTCTGTTACATTAAGTTTGTGTTGTCCTCACTACCTACAGGGTATGGAAGTTTTTCTTTGCAAATCCATTATAATGGCCAGATTTCTTGCTTGGATTGACAGTATATTTCATTGCTAGTACACCTGCTTTTTAAAGTTGCCAAAGACTTCATAGAGTTCTAGTCTGGTGTAGCTTCCAATTTGTTTTTTTCAGACTCCCATTTAGCCTTTGTAGAATGCACACTGCATAGACACTTACAGTAAATAACTTTACAATTACCAGTGTTTATTCTTTCATTCCCATTTTTCTGTATTTCCTGCAAATACACAGAGTAAAATATCTGACTAATTATTATCTTCATACAGAACAGCTCAGACTAATATAGCCTCCGTAATCTCCCCTTCTGTACTATATAGAAGAATGGCCTTCATAGGGGATACAAAATCCTCAGTGGGGTTATAAGGTGTAAAACATTTTAAATAAACCTCACAAACTTTTTTGTGACGCATGATGTGGCATGGTGTGTATGTAAAGTATTGGGGGTGCATTTCACCGTAATTCCACAACAAGTTAACAGCTAATTCTGCTTTCTGTTTACTTTGATACATCTAAACATATTAAAGTTCATTAGTTCCCTGACAGTTTGCAGTGTATTCCTGAATGCTTCCCAGCGGCATTCCCAACAGCAACATTGAAAATGTCCATAGAGATTTCAGGGCAAAAATCTGCAGAAAAAATAATAATTTACAATATGTACATTTATTTACTTCCACCATAATTTTTATTTCTGCTTTACTGACACTAATTAATTAGCCTAATTTAATTAATTCTTCTCTCATGGGAAGGTATAGTTGATTTTTGTAGCTTATGATCAAGGCAGAGCTGAGGAGCACAGGGCTCCTAGCAGTATCTTACATGAAATCCTTTAACTCTGTACCTGTATGTGTAGACCAGATTGGGCCATGAAACTGGAGTACACTGAACCTGCTTTCTCAGTTTTCCTGAATTCCTGAGATCTAGAAACTGCCAAAATAACTTCTAGTGGAGAAGTTACATTCCACATGCTGAGCTAAATAAACCCCAAACCCAGAAGTACACATGCAGATACCATGCCTTGAGTTTCCCTTCAGCACCCTCAGTGAGACTTCCTCCTCTCTCTATTTGATCATACAAAGCTATTGAACCTTGCTTGGGTAAAAAACAGCTGCAATGGGACAGATCTTCTCTTGTTCTGGATCAGAGTGACACAGCCCCCAGGCCTGCCTTGCACATCACTCCTGTTCATAAAATCACAGAATCACAAGGTTGGAAACGACCTGCAAGATCATCTAGTCCAACCACCCTCCCATTACCATTGCTACCACAAGCTACTAAACCATATCTCGTAGC